CGCAATATGAGCCCATATCTTCTTAGGATTTCTCTAGTCTACAAGACTCCTACTTATGGGCAAAATATGGAGTCAAAAGCAGTGAATCACTTGGGGACCTTCCCTCGTTAGCATAAATCAAAGCAACTGTTTCACAAACATGTATATCATCATCAATAAGATATTGAAAGATAAGATCAATAGAGAATGATCAAACCATAATCAATTCGAAATAAAAACGAAAGAAAAAACAATATTTTTTTCTCTACTATTGAATTATTTCTATTAGAAACATTGCTGTTTTTGTTTATTTGTTGTTTTTCTAGATAAGTTAATATACGAAAATATATGTTACCAATAAGTTCATCTAGAGTTACCTTTTGGGTATAGAAAAAAAAACAAATTCTTATAATTATATATTTGCTTTATCTGGTTTTATTAATTAATTAAAAAAACTTAATCACTTTTGTAAAGTATTTCGTCAAACATGTATAATATGTGTATTATTATCATTGAGACATGACAGAAATGTAGAATGTTATTTAACGAACATACTTAATTGAATATCTTGAAAAAAGAAAGAATCAAATAAGATATTGATTGTTTAAAAAAGGAGATGGTTACTTTTCTAATCTAAACGTTGAACTATGTTGTGAATCAATTGATACAATTAAACATTGATTAATAAACAAAAAATTATTAATTGAATTTTGATAATAATGATCATTTTTAAAGATGAATTATTGTTTGAATTAATTTAGCAAGTTAATTTAGAAAAAGTCATAAGATATGAATGTTGCTATTAAATAATCAGTATGAGATTTAAAAAGAAAATTATTTACTTCTTAATAGATTAAATATAAAGAACTATAGAGAAGTTCGATCAAGATCATTAAATATTGATCGAACAGAATATAAATTTTAATTAGTTTTAATTAATAGAAAATATGTTGAAATAAAATTTAGAAATTTCTCTTTTAAATTTTTTTGCAAAAATCTTTTAAGATATTTCTCAAATGATTCGAACAAAAACATTAGTTTGACAAGGTATTATTGCTTATTTACAAAAAAGAAAAGTTATCGAGGAGATGTACTTCATTTTATAAAAAATAAAAGAAAAACGAAGCTTTCGATTATTTTTTGAATTTTAAAATATTAATGTGAATTAAGTATGGTTCTTTTTTTATTCGTTTTGAAATTAGTTTCAATTATTTATATATCATTAGTAACTGGTCAGGAAAAATCAGCTTTTCTTTATTTAATAGCAAGAAGGGTGTGGGTATGGGTGTGGGTGTGGATGTGGTTGTGGGTTTGGGTTTGGGTATGGATATGAGTGGTGTTAAAGATAAAACTCACATCCACACCTACATCCTCAAGATAGTTTTTGCTCAAAAAATTTAGCCGTGGTCTCTCTCAGGGACATGATGAAAAGGAATTTCGTGAAATCACCTTTCGGACATCATAGAAAAGCCTAGAAAGTTGTTTAAAGTTATTCGATGGACAAATGGCAACTATCTAGAAACTAAAACCTGTGTTTTCATTGAATTGAATTTGCATCATGTTCTTGAAAGGGCCTACGGATAACTTTTTCGACAAAAACAAAAATGTCAGAAATCGTTTAAATTGTACATAGGTCTACTCAGCTTTTTATGCTGATTCCAAATATCATATTAGTTTTTGTTGAAATTGAGGATGTATGTGTGGGTTAAGATAAGATGAACCACATCCACACCCATACCCTGCCTGCAAACTTTTTAGCTATTTCAATATTTCTATTGGTCAATGTTCCGGTATAGTAATGGGAGTCCAACCTGCGTAAATCTATCAGACGTCAGAATCCAAATATCTCGTTGTACTTCATCGTTACTCAAATTTTAGAGTACAATGAGGTATTTGGACTCTGATGTCTGATAGATTTACGCAAGCTGGAATTCCATTACTATACCGGAACACTGACCACTAGAAGTGTTGAAATAGTCAAAACGTTTGCAGGCAAACCTTCGACACAGCCCGGAAGTGCAGAAAGAACGGTGAAGTACAGCAAGTTTCGCTTTTTTTCCCCATTGCTAAAGAGGCATATACAGAAAACTTCCATGATGCTTTCTAACCAACATGCAAACCGGTCATACGGAGTCGTAGAAATCCATTCAGTCATCGCCATAAACAGTAACACATCAAGACTTTTTGTGATATTAAGAAGAGAAAATCTCTCCAGAGTTTTTCTGCTACCAATAAAGATCTTATGAAAAAAGCACACATATCAACAGAGAAAACGATCTCATCAGTTTATTTTTGATTCAAAATTGATCGAAATTGAAAAAAGAAGCTAAAAGTAATTTCCATTATAGAGCAAAAGAAGATAAAATAGAAAGTAAAAACTACAGAAAACTACGTAAGTGGTTGGAAGCAATAAGCGAAAAAAAACATAGAAAAAGAAAAATGTAAGTTAAGTAATAAAAAGTAGCACTTTGAGTTTAGTAGTACTACAATGAATTTCTAAGCTTCGTTCTTCCATTTGCTTTTCTGTTGTGTATGTTTGAGAATGTCTCACACGCCAAAAAAATGTCGACTATTTTGATAATGAAGAATCATGAACACTAAAAGATCGCACTGCTTTAGTTCCATTACTCTTTAAATCGCTCGATAAGTTTTCCTAATCGATTATTACTATCAGAAGCATCCATTTCGTCAAAATGAGCACGAGCAAGCTCTATTAGATTGTCTAAACTTTCTTTGCTTATATCGTCAAGTGAAATTGGTTTTTCAAGCCAAACCTGCCATCGATTATAATGATCACTACCTAATATATTACTTAATTGATAATCAATATTACGTTCTGGACCATTCAAAATGACACTCAAAGCATCATGCTTATTAGTTAACCAAAATAAAAGATGTCGCTTAGCATTCGGATTCAATGGATCTGGTACATAATCGCCTGTACCAAGAGATAGAATAAAAATATCCTCACGTTTGACATTTTTCTTGCATGCCTCAGTATAGGCACACATTGCTGGATTATTGGCTTGAACTCCACCGTCGACGAATACAGTATCGTGCAAGCGATAAGATGGAAAATACATTGGTGCAGCTGTTGTGCACATGAGAATATCAACAAGTTTATAATTTTTCCTGTAATCATTAATAGCCTCACTTCGTTGAAATAGCTCTGTAGTACAACTGCGAAAGGTAGTCGCCGTTATGACAAGATCAGTCAGTGCTTGAGATAACTGAGTATCTCCAAAATATTGCTGGAACAAGGCCTTTCGCCCCTCATCAGTATATTTAATCCCTAATTTTAAAATCTTCTCTATGACTGACGAACAAGAAAATATTCTTTTAGAATGGGCTGTGTACAATTGAACAAAATCCACAGCTTTATAACGCGGTTTTCTGATACCAGGTTTATCTGGTAACGAAAGACCAGCAGCTATGATCCCTCCAGTTGATGTTCCAGCCATCATGTGGAACATAGATGAGCTGCTCAATTGAGTTCTTCGTTCTAACTCACTAATCCAGATGGCCGGTATTAATCCTCTAATGCCACCACCGTCAATAGAAAGAATATTGTATTGATGGGATTTAGGTTCGGTATGAATCAAACTCATTTTATTGTATAATTTGATTCGTTGTTCAGCTGTTTCTTGTCGTAATTTTAATATCAAGTTCAATTCATTTTTTGCTTCGACATAGTTCTCTTTCAATCTGAGTGCTGTTTCAACAGCATTCTTAGCCTGATCATAGTTTTGCAATTTGCGTTTTACAATACCTAAGAGAAGCCATTTTTCTGGTGGATCACACAAATATGTTTTTTTCTCAACTTTTTTCTCCAAAACCTTCTCAGCTAAGTGATATTTACCTAACTTTAGTAAGCATGTAGCATAACCGAGCATTGCTTTTAAATTATATGGAATGAGTGTCAACGAGTGACTGTAATATTTCTGCGCTGTAACCCATATGTTTAATGCTTCTATATGGTTGGTTTTATCAATTTTTTCAGCCTGGCGCTGATAATGAAGCGCAATTAAATTTACCAAATGACTTTGAGTTATTTTATCGGTAGCCGAATCTAACTGATTATATATATAATTCAATGAAGTCTCACTGAGCACAAAAGCACCTTTTACTGGTCTAACATCTTCTGGCCAGTTCTTTTCTTCTGTTATAATATATACAGAAACTTTTTCCTGTTGTTTAGAAACATCAATCACTTCTTTAATTGGAACAAATACAAATTTATGCTCTTGATGGCTTTCCACAGTACATGGTATAAAAATTAGATTATGCAACAGAGATAAAATCGGTAAATAGTGAAAATTCAATGATTTTTTTTGTTGTAAAAACGATGTCATCCATTCATTGATATTGGAAAACTTTTCTTTTCTTATCATCTTTTTTATTAAAGATGTTAATGGGTCAGCATAATTTTGATAATAGTAACACACATCTTTCAAAAATTGCGTTTTATTCAATTTCAGAACTTGATTTAAAACTTTATCCAACAGTTCAAACTCGTCAATTTCATTATCATCAAATAAAATCGGTGGTTTACACTGTAAAACTGTCTGATCATCTTTTAAAACTTTATTGATATTTTTAATAAATAGATCACTTCTTGGACCAGTGATTTTTTTACTACAAAAAACTAGTTTTTTCCTAGCATATGATACATCATCGGGATAACCAAACGTAGTGAAAATGTCTGTCAATGCTTGAAGACGAATTTCGCTTACGACAAACATTTTTTCTTCCGTAAGATCTTTCATCAATTCTTCTTTGACATTTTTAATCATCTTGACACTTTTCTGTAAACTCTCTGTGTCTCCGACTATCATTTGTGCAATGGCGTAATTAACTTTTGTAACAAGTTTTACTGCTTCTAGACGAACACTAGCAGAAACAAGTAATCTCTCTGTTGTGTACTCATTTGGCACAGAATAAGTACAATCTACTAAGCTTTTTTCAAGATGTTCTATGCATCTTGTTTCTACAAATGAGATTCGTGATTCAATCTTACTGTCAATATTTTTGGCTCGTTCCGTCAGCTGCGTATTTTTCAAAACTTCCTCAAATAATATTGTTGCAAAATATATGAAATCCGGATAATTTGGTAACTCCAGACGTATATCGCCAGTGAACTCTTTTTTCGGTTTTAAATCGGGTTTACTGAGCAAAACCTCGCCAAGCAAAACGAGAAAATTGGCAACTCCTTCGGGTGAAAAATCGTAGCTCAAAAGTTCTTCCACAATCACAGTAGGTCGGATGTCAAGCAAAATTTTACAACTATTACCTTGTTTTATTTGTTTAATCCCTACTAACAATTTTGGTTTAGCATAGTGAGTGGTTAATGTATAAAGAAATTCACTGTACTGTCCTTTGTTGTAATGATATAGCGCATTATTTATAATTGTTTTTATGAATTCACGGATTTTAGAGTGTTGTAGATTAGATTGATTTTCGTCCTGAAATTTATTTCCCAATAAAATATCACCAATTAAATATGAAACACCAATATCAACACCACTGGGTATACTGCTCAATCTCGAACCTAGTCCTGTTTCTTTTCTATCTCGAAAAGAATTTTTGTTGAGAATAGTGAATCGTAATTCCGACAAAAGATCCCTTTGAAACTGTTCTAATGTGATAGAGCCCTGTCTGTAAGCCATTATAGCTTTAGACAATACTGATTTATCTCTTAAATTGTTGACTTCCTCATTTGAAACTGCGGACAATGGTGTTTCTGTACGACGGATTTTTCGCAGAAGAGTTTTTAATGCCTCAAAGTCATCTTTACAACGATTATCCTTATCATTGGTTACTAATAAATAAATCCCAGCAAGGGCATAAATTTGCGCTTCGAAGGATAGATGATCGCCGGCGTGGTATAGCGTAAGAGCCATCCACTTTTTCAAGTCAACTTGCTCGGCTAGTTTTTCTTTGTTGCCTGCTGCTTCGAGTTCTCTTGCTGCAGCTCTGTCATATTCATATGCACTAACTGCATAATGTTGCTGATAATTTTCTAATTCTTCATCGGTTAAATGCGATAATGCTTCTCGTTTTTTTGGGTTTATATAATTCCACTCATGTTTTCTTGCATATTCATATTCATTAGCAATATTCCAGTATTTCTTTGCACTTGCCTTATACTGCTCAATTAAACTAGCTCGATTTGTCTGATCATTAGACAACGTATTCAATTGTTTATCTAAATCGCCGGCTATTAATTGACAAACTTCTGTAAACATGCTGTTTCGTTTCGATTCAGATTTATCGGGTTGAAATAAAACAGATAGTTTTTTGGCGTGTGATTGAATGCGATCTTCTCTTAACGGAATAGTAGCAAATAAAATAGAACGAAGCTTTGACTTATTGGAAATAAGAAACTCTACAAAATCTACCTTACGCTGATATTGTAAATATATCAAGTAATAGCAAAGATCAATTAAAAACGAAAAAATTTTCATCTTTGTCTGATCTACAGTTTTTTCAAAAGTCACTTCTATTTGAGTTAGAAGAGAATTCAAACTGACCATTATTTTCCAAATTTCCAAAGTCCGTTTAATGTAGTCATCCAATGAGTTCACAGATGATTCGAAACATTCCTTGATTTTTCTCTCTAATTCAGCGCTATAATTTATTTGTGGGGTGTCGCTAAGTAACGATTTTATCATGGGTAAACACTTCTTAATATTGTTTAGTATTGATGTGTCTGTCTGAACATTTGCAACAGCAACTGTTGATTCTGTCAGTCGTGTTTCTGGATTATTCATTTGTTGTTCCCATTTTGTGATATACCTGCTTATGATGTTTTCTTCCATGTGCCATGCATTCGAATTTTGAACAGCTTGAAAATAACAATTTTTCTTTAGGTTCAATAGCTCACGATAAGTATTATTTTTTTCTCCGATTAAAGATTCTAGTTGATCAAATAACTGCCGTACATTTTCTCCATTATTGATAATCGTATCATCAAGTGTTGTGAACAGTTGATCTATTGCGGCGTTATTCATATTTCTTTTTTTTGTTGATCGATAAATTTAGTCAACTATGAATAAGATAAAATGATTTAGTGTATTTTTATGAGCCAGAAGAAGAACAAGAATCTAAAATTTCTCACCCTCTAAGCACATCTTAATTACAATTTTGCGTAATTCTCTACTTCTCGAGTAGCATCAATTTACGAAATATAGCTGCTGATCAACTATATTTAAAATTATTTTGTAGGTGTCGACAAACATTTGAATGTGGATTTTTATGAACGTATTTCTCTTGCCCGTATTCACATCCAATCACGTTCGCTCAGTTTTTCACATTCTCTGATCAGTTCTACTCATATCTTCAAAAAAACTACATTTCATTTTAAAAAAAGTTGATTTCTATTCCTATACAAGTATTGAGATTCTGCTAAGAAGTAACTTTGTTTTGTTGAGAACAAATTCTATTTCCTTATTTTCACTGAATTGTATTATTCTACATTTAAAAAGAAATGAATGAAACAAAAGTCTATCGCTAGTAAGGGTGGCATTTTGCCTTTCTTTTACTAGGCTAAGCAAAAAGTAAATACTTTAACTGATCGGTTCAAATATAGTAAATTTATCTTCTTCGACAAATTAGAGAGAAATCAAAAAAATCTTACAGTTAAATTTATTCCTGATTTGGTAGTTTATCATCATACTTTGATGACACCCCAATATATAAGAAGACATTCATAAATATTCCTGTATTCGGATATGGGTGTAGATGACCAAAGCCACGCTCACACCCCGACTCAGATACAGATCGACACCTACGTCGTTTTCTCAAAATACTACATAAACAAGAGAAATTTCTTCAAACTTTCTATGCAGAAAAAAAGATAATGATGACACTCTTTTTAAATTGCACTAAGTAATATATTTATTCTGTCTTCTGCAGCATGTACACTTTGTTGTCTTTGATATCTATGCGAAATATATGGTGTAAACACTAAACGAACCGGAAATAAATTTATGATAGGTGCAACACTAAATAATTATTTCAATGTTGTTTTGATAATATAACGTGTAATGAAAGTGATTTGATAAAATATTATAAATAAATTAAAACGAATATCGATCAGATAGAA